CCCTTTTGGGCTGTCGGCCATCACTTTTGGGTTGTTGAACGCTGATATGGCTTGCCGACCACCAGTGATGGTCGGCCAGCCACCAGTTTCTTTTGCAGATATTTTGTGACAGTTGTGCCAGCTATTTGCACAGATGCATGCATCTGCCCCTACGTGTAGGGTTGGATGTTCTTGAGGGAGATTCATGTTTTCTATATAGAGGACGTCTCTCTCATGTTTTATGGTTGGAAACATTTTAGAACAAAATTTTTCCCCTCTCTCTACAATTCTATCTCTCTATCAAATTCCTACACTTTTGCCTATACACTCTTAACCTTTGCCTATACACCCTTAACCAAACCTTCTCATCTTTGAGCTGAGGTGTCTTTGAGGGTTGCTTGAGCTCTTGAGGGTGTTGTTTGCTTGGTTTTGTTGCTTGGAATTCATTTCCTCTTCAAAAGGTATAAAGCTTTACCTATTTGCTTGCTTTAACTACTCTTTTTCTTGCAATTTTCCAAGTGTTTTTGGGCTATAAAACTCTCATATTTTTTGGCTGAAACTTGGGTTTTAGGGCCATTAAATGTTAAGGGGTGTTCCACCCTTCTTTGTACCTTGCTTTGAAAACCTTTTCCCTTGTGTTTCCCACCCTCTTACTATCTGTTTTTGAGCTTTTAAACACTATTTTTCAGAGCTTTTTCAGTGGTCAAAATCATGTTTTGAAGTCCAAATTTGGAGGGGTTGGCCTCCCATCCTTGTGTCTTGCTTCCATGCCTTGGTTGCTTCACATGTTAGCATGATTTTCCAGTTTAGCCTAGCTTAATTCAAGCATGTCTTGGGCTTTATTTTGGCATATTTCAACTCTATTTTGGGCTGCTTGGAGCACTTGAGGCTTGCTTTGTATGCTTGTAGTGCAATTGTGCTTAATAATTTAGCTTGTGCTATGTTTTGGCCTCTTATTCTAGCTATTTTTGGCTTACTTCAAACATGTTTTAGGACTCCTTTCAGATTATTTTAGGACTGTTTTAAAGTGTTTGTACGTTTTGAGCTTTGTATTGCATGCCTATAGTGCAAGTGATCTTCACTAGCTCATTGTTTTAAGCTTTAAACATGTGTTGCATATGTCGATTGCATGCTTAAGTGTAATTTTGCATCCCATTTCAGCACTTTAAATCTCTGCAATTCACTCTTTCATTTGTTTTGAAAGGGGCTTTGAACCATTTGTTGGCTTGAGTGTGGAATTGAGGCCCTCATGCCTAATGGTTTTAATCCTCTCTTGAGGGTTTCTACTAACCAACATAGTGTAATAGTCCTCATGAGTTTGGTGTTCTAGGCATTAGACACCATCTCCTTTGAGTTGATAGCATTTATTCATGCTTTTCTCACTCATTTTTAGCACTAATAATCTCTGCAACCTCCCTCTTTTCTTGGCTTTTGTTCTTCTTTTAGAGTTGTTTCAAGCCTCTTGTTCTTTTAAGCATGAGATTGAGATTGTCATGCATAATGGTTTAATCCTTTTTAGGGATTCATTATTAACGGCATGACATCTCTTTCATGTCTTAAGTTAACTCTTGGTTTGAGCCTTCAAACTCACCATTTGGACTCAATTGATTAAAGAATGGTTGGTAATTTAAAATGGAGTAAAATTAAGGCTAAAAATGGTGAAAGATAACAATTTGGTTCTGTTCAATCAGACGTTAATTAAACACATGGAAGCTTGAACCATTTCATACTCATTAGTGATTAAATGATTCGAGGTTCCAAGGTCACCACTTCCCTTGATCATGCATAATAGGGAGGTGGTTTTGAGAGTCTCATTTTGTTGCATTTATTGAACTTGCACACTTTGGTTCACAAGCCATCATGCAATGAAATTGCTTGAGTTAGAGGTTTGTGGCTTAAGCTCACTACTCCTTTGATTTGTTCATGAAAAGGAGGGGTGAGTTGTGCAAACAAACCCTTGAAATACCCTGTGCATTGCTCTGTTTGTTCTCTGTTCCAGGAAGGTGAACTGGGCAGCAGTGGCCGACAAGCCACTTTCCATGGTCGGCAGACTACCTTTGATGGCCGGCCAACTATCACTGGTGGCCGGCAGGCCTCATCATTGGCCAGCTGGCCACTGATACAAAACTCAGCAATTTGTTTGTAAGGCAAAGCAGAGTTATTCTGGAAGTGGCCAACAGTGTATGTGTTCTATTGCGTAACAGAGGTTTTTCGGAAGCAAAACAGTAGCTTTTCGGGTGGAAACCGAGCATGTGCATGAGCATTCCTCGCTTACCGAGCATGTTTAAGTTTAAATTGTTGTAATTAATTATTTGTAGCTAGTTAATTTTGTAAAGTGTTGTAATTAATTAAGTAGTTAACTAGTTATTCAATTTCGTTTTGTAATTAGTTAGTTAACTAGAATAGTTAGTTAATTAATTTGTTATAATAATTAGTTAAGTAGTTCAGCTAATTTAATTTATTTTGTAATAATTAACTTAATTAGCTTAGCTTTAGTTAGTTAGCATAGTTGATTCGGACTCTCTTTCGTGAGAGTGCAATGTTGTAATAATGCGTATGTCTTACAACTCCACGTCTTTCTCTTTTTCATTTAAACTGCTTATGATAGTTAGTTTAGGGACATCATGTTTCAATTAACATTCTTCATGTTTGCATTCACTTGTATTTCATGCACCGAGGCTCGGTTTATCATTTTAACTGCATTGTTAGTTTAAATACTTCTTTGAATACGTGTTTAGACCGCATGCTATTTCATTGATCCATATGCCATGTTAAGTAGCCGAGCCTATTTTAGATTGCATATCGCATGTGTTGCATTAGTCATATCACATAGTTATGATCATTCATTTTTCTAACTCATGTTTATTTTTGGCTTGAAGTACTAGGTGAGCCTTTACTCGCTTTAGCATATCGCATGAATGTTGATGTTTTCATGTCTAGCATGCTTGCCATGAGGCTAATTGCTTAAGTGCTATAACTATTTGAATGCCTGTGGATGAAGGCTTATTGCTTAAATTGGAATAATTTGAATAATATTCATATGCGATCACTTTTTTCACGTGGTACATATTCGAAACAATTTTCAAAAAACAAACATGAATCGAAGTGTTCCAATTCTTGTAAGTTACTTTATACTTGTGTGTGCGCATCACATAGTAATGCTAGCCTAATAAACCAGAACAAAAGCATATAATGTACATAAAATTCATATCATGATTAGTAAAAACCAATCTTTGATTGGGTAAGCGGGGGTGCTCAATTCATGACCTTCTCCTCTCGTAACTAAGTTCCTGAGACGATACAATCTTGGTGATGACGGACACGTGGCCTTTGGCACGAGTCATGGGTTTTCTAAATTTTTTAAAAATATTTAGGTGTCGGCTTTGTATCTAGCAAAGCAATCCATTATTGGCAATTTGATTAAAAATCGATATTTCAAAAGATTTTTCAGATTTGGACTCTTTGGTGATTATCTGTTTCTCATTGCACTTGTGAGATACGATTCAGAACCGCGGGAGTCCAAACTGTAGGGCTTATTTCGCCTTTCTGAAAGGGGGTGCGAAAAAGTGGAGCTACAGGTTGTCTTCGTACTGTGCCATCATAGGAGAGTTACCTTGTGCACCTTAAGTGGTGATTTTTTTTTTATTTTCTGGGGGACCGAGCGGATAGATTTTTGTCACCATTGTATAATTACATAGTCGGGGCGAGCTTAATTTCCTTCTTGTAACCTTCTTGGGTAATGAAAGTGACATAGTCTGAGATGACTTACTGAGGGTAGTTTGTAAATAACCAGATGTCTCCTCTGAAGACCTTACTGGTTTGCCATCCCACCGGAAAATTGAATTCTCCATTGACTTAGTTTTCGGCACGGCACCAATTTCCATGATATCGTATAAATTTGCACCCGTCGAATTGCACGAGTTGAAGATTCAACTCCAAGAAATTTTAGACAAGGGCTTCATCCACCCTAGTACCTCGTCTTTGGGAGCATTGACTCTTTTTGCAAAGAATAAAGATAACACATTGCGACTGTGCATCGATTATCAGAAGTTGAACCGGGTAACTATCAAGAACAAGCACCCATTGTCGCGAAAAAATGATCTGTTTGACCAGTTGAAGGGGTCGTGTTGTTTTTCAAAGATCGATTTGAGGTCAGGTTATCACTAGTCGAGGGTGAATGAGGAAGATATTCAGAAAATGGCATTTCGCACGCGGTATGGCTATTGTGAGTTCTTAGTAATGCCTTTTGGGTTAACCAATGCACCAGTTTCGTTTACGAACTTGATGAATCGAATCTTTCGTTAGTTCTTAGATTGATTTGTGGTTGTCTTTTCGATGGCAGACTAGTCTACTCACCATTTGAGGAGGAACACGAGAAACACTTGCGAGTTGTACTTGAGTTTCTTAGAGCACGTCGTTTATATGCTAAGTTCGGAAAGTGTGAGTTTTGGCTAAAAGAAATTAAGTTCTTAGGTCATGTGGTATCTGGAGAAGGGATGACTATAGATTCATCTAAGATATATGCGGTGCAAGACTGGGAACAACCTAAGAATGCCTTTGAAATCCGGAGTTTCATGGGCTTAGCCGGGTATTACTGACGTTTTGTAAAAGATTTCTTTAGATTGGCTTCACTGTTAACCAAATTGACAAGGAATGGAATTAAATTTGTGTAAAGCGAGGCTTGTGAGAAGCCTTTTAAGGAACTTAAAAATAGACTCACCACCGCTCCAGTTTTGATTATTCCGGAGAGAGATTTGAGTTATTCAGTTCATTATGATGCATCTTGGGAAGACTTGGGTTGTGTGTTGATGCAAGAGGAAAAGTGGTGGTATACGACTCACCCTAGTTAAAAATACATGAAAGAAACTATCTTACTCATGACTTAGAGCTAACGGCGTTGATTTTTGCCTTAAATTTGGAGCCATTACCTGTACGGGAAGAAATTTGAAGTGTTTTTCGATTATAAAAGTTTGAAATACCTATTTTCACAAAAAGGTTTGAATTTGAGGCAGAGAGGGTGAATGGAGTTTATGGAAGATTATGATTTCGAGTTACACTATCATCCCGGAAAGGCCAACGTAGTGGCTGACACTTTGAGTAAAAAATCTGTGGGCAGTGTAGCTAGTATCGCCATCTGGAAATTGGAGATGTTAGGCGTAGTGGGCGAGTTTGACTTGCATCTTAGCAAGTCCGTTGAGTCAGCAGTTTTGTTCACAGTAGTTGCACAACCAACTTTAGTGAACCGAGTTATAGAAGCACAACAGGGGGATTGCGAAGTGGAATCCATCCGAGAGAAGATATCTAATGTGAAGGTAGAGAAGGGGTTGAATGTTTATTCTAACTCGAGTATAAGGTATCTAGACCATCTTTTTGTGTCATAGTCATGTATATAGGAGGTACTCCGAGAGTTCCATTATCTATGCCTTGCGATACACCCGGGAGGCATAAAGATATACCATGACCTTAGTCACCAATTTTGGTAGAGGAGGATGAAGAGAGAAGTAACCTTGTTTGTTTCGAGGTGTTTTACTTGTCAACAAGTGAAGGCCGAGTATCAACGACCAACGAATAGTCGAGTGGAAATGGAAGCATGTCACAATAGATTTTGTTGTGGGTCTTTCAATGACTCAACAGGGTAATGATGTCATATGGGTGATAGTTGACCGGTTAACCAAATCAGCACACTTTGTACCTATGCGCACAAGCGACTCAGTAGATTATCTTACCGATCTATATGTTAGGGACATAGCTTGACTTCATAGGGTCCCAGTGACTATAGTCTCAGATACAGATCTACGTTTCACGGCCCGGTTATGGCAAACTGTAGACACCCATTTTTGACAGTCCTCAAGACTTGGACATCATCGTTTAAACACCAGATGATTGTGCTTGCTCGTATTCGTTTTGAGTCCTTAAAGGTCTCGGCCGAGCGCCTTGCCTCGGAGCCTCTAATCTTGTCTGTTTTGTTCTTGGTTGTGAACCAAGAGCTTGTTGCTTCAATTCTAGAGGAGAGGGTGGCCTGTCGGCTATCCCCATAGCCTGTCGGCCATGACTTGTGCCTCTCGGCCACCAGTGGTGGCCGGTTGGCTACATTGATGGCCAGTCGGCCACTGATGATGGTCGACGACCATTTTTCTCATTTTTTAGATATTTATTTGCCAGCTGTGCCAGCTGTTGTTCACTGATGCTCATCTCCATACATGTGTATGGAGGGATGAATACAAGCCTTTAGCTTGATTTTCTATATATAGGGGGGTTTCTCCCCCATTTTGAGGGGTTGGATAATTTTAAGCAAATTTCTTCCTCTCTCTCTAGAATTCTCTCTCTCTCTCTCTCTCCTCTTTTTTTGTGCCTTACAGTTGATTTTCTCTACACTTTTGCACAATGACCCTTAACCAAACATCCTCATCTTGGAGCTGAGGTTCTTTGAGGCTTAGTTTGAGCTCCTAAGGGTGGTTTTAGCTCACAATTATGACTGTTTTGTACTGTGCTTCAAGAGATACAGGACTTGCCTTGTAGGCTTTATTTTGATTACTTGTTTGGCCATCTTTTGATACTATTTTTGGCCTAGTTTTCAACTACAAAAAACTCTGATTTTTGAAGCTTAATATGGTAGTTTGAAGTCATTTTGTGCTAAGGGGTTTTCCACCCTTCTTATTGCTTAATTGTGAAGCTTTTTGCACCATATTTTAGCATATTAAAATCAAACTTTTTGGGCCTTTAAACCACTGAAATTTAGAGTTATTTCAGTGCTATAAAGCGTGTTTTGAAGTCCAAAAATGGAGGGGTTGGCCTCCCCTCCTTGTGTCGCACTTGCATGCCTAGTTAGCATTCTATGGTAGCATGTTTTTGTGGTTTAACTTAGCTTAATTCAAGTATGTTTTAGCTACTATTTCGACTGGTTTTAGCTATGTTTTGGGCTGTCTTGGTCATATGAGTCTTGTTTTGCATAGTTGTAGTGCAAATAGCTTCACTAGTTTGGCATTCTAGCCCTTCAAACTTGATTTGCTTGAGATGGATGGATGCTGACGTGTCTTTTTACATGTAATTTTAGTTTTTATAGCTCTGTCACATGCTCATTTGCTTCACTCTTTCATTACTTTTTTGGAGTTGCTCTTGAGTCTTGTTTGCAAGCTAACATGTGAACATGTTTTTCTAACCTTTTGTGCTTTAATCTCAGCAAGTTTTAACCATTGTTTTGGCATATTTTAACTCTATTCTGAGCAGGTTTGGTCAGTTGAGGCTTGTATTGCATAGCTATAGTGTAATGGTCTTCGCTAGCTTAATAAGTTAGGCTTTTAAACATGACTTGCATGTGTTGCTTGCATGATTTAGTGTCATTTTGCATGCCATGTCAGCACTGAAATATCTGTAACCTCCCTTTATTCTTCATTCTTTACTTTGTTTTGAAAGTGGCTTTGAGCCTCTTGTTGGCTTGAGTGTGGAATTGAGACCCTCATGCCTTATGGTTTAATTCATTCAGGAGTTCATTACCAACAGCATGAGGCCTCTTTTGTGCTCAAGGTACTTGCGGCTTAAGCCCTCTTTCCATTAGAGGACTCTCATCTTTTGGACTCAACCAGTTAAAGAATGGATCGGTAATTAAAATGGCAAATAAAATATGACAAGTAAAACTTGAGCAAGTTAAGTATGTTGTGTTGCATTAATTAGTTTAATTAGATTAGTTAGCCTAGCTTAGCTTAGATTAGATTAGCTTAGCTCTTATTCATTCGGACCCTCCTTCGTGAGGGCATAAGGTTGTAATAAGTGTACGTGCGCGTGTGCATGTATTCCAATCCCGCGTCTTTCTCCCTTTTATTTAATCGCTTTTGATGGTTAGATTAGGGACATATTTCAATTAGCATACCTCATGCTCGCATGTTTGCATCCATTCATTTGTCTTGCATGCACCGAGGCTCGACGCATCATTCAAACTGCATAGCAATTTCAACATTTTATTTGAATACGTGTTTAAATCGCATGTTATTCAAATCGATCATATGCCATATTAGTAGCCGAGCCTATTAATTTCATAATGCATGTGTTGCATTAGGCATCTTGCATAGTTAGGATCATACATCTTTCTAACTAGTTTTTTGTTTTGGCTTGGAGTACTTAATAAGTTTTACGCTTTAGCATACTTGCATGAGTGCGATTGTCATATTGCCATGCTTCGCATGCTTGCCATGAGGCTATGTGCTTAAATGCTAAACTGCATGAATGTCTGTAGATGAAGGCTTGTTATTTGAAATGGAACAATTCAATGAATGCGCGTTTTAAGCCCACTTTGTTGAATGACAAAATCATGTTTTAAGCCCACTTGAGGTGGCAAAACCGCATCTTTAAGCTCACTTGAGGGTGGCAAATTCAAACTATTTTCGAAAACAAACATGAGTTGATTTGTTCCAATTCTCACGATTTTAGTCTATACTTGTTTGTGTGTGTCACGTAGTAAAGTTAGCTAATAAACGGAATAAGAACACATGTGTTTATAAAATGACATATCATGATAGTAGAGGCCGATTTTTGGTCGGGCGAGCAGGGATGCTCATTTTAAGACATTCCCCTCTCGTACCCAAGTTCCCGAGCCGAGGCAACTTTGGTGATGACGGACATGTGGCCTTTGGCACGAGTCAGGGTTTCCTAAATTTCTCCAAAATAAAATATTTAGGTGGCGACTCTGTAATCTGGCAAAGCAGCCCAGTTTTGGCATTATTTGATTCAAAATCGATTTTCTAAAATGATTTGCCGGATTGGACTTTTTGGTGTTTATTAGTTTCACATTGCACCTTGTGAGATTAGATTTAGAACCGTGACAGGAGTCCGAACTGTAGGACCAATTTGAGCTCTCCAATAGGGGGGGCGCGAAAAAGTCGAGCTACACAAACCTACAAAATGCCTTGGGCACTATGTTAATGTTTAGCACTACCTATCATTGTCAAACGGACGGGCAGTCCGAGCGCACCATTCAGATTTTAGAGGATATGCTTCGAGCTTGCATTCTCGATTTTAAGGGGTCATGGAAGAGACATTTACTCTTGGTGGAGTTTGCTTATAATAACAGTTTTTAGGCGAGTATTGGTATAGGGACTTTTGAGGCCTTATATAGCCGACCGTGTAGATCTCCAATGTATTGGGCCGAGGTGGGGTGACACACCTATGTTACGTCCTGAATTAGTTCGGGAAACAACAGAGAAAGTTGTGTTTATTTGTAAGAGACTGGCTTTGAATCAGAGCCATCAGAAGAGCTATGTCAACCGTAAGAGGAGGCATTTATCTTTTGAGGTGGAAGATCAAGTTTTTCTTAAAATATCGATGAGATGGGGTTTAATGAGATTCGAAAAGAGCAGAAAGTTGTCTTATAGATTTAATGGGCCCTTTGAGATTCTAGAGCAAATTGGGAAGATAGCTTACCGTTTGGCTTTGTCGCCCCAATTTTTTGGGGTTCATGACATGCTTTATATATGTATACTCTGGAAGCACGTACTTGATCCTTCACACGTGTTGGATTGGTGTAGCGATCCTAATTTTCTTAAGTCATTTATTTATTATTATGATTATTATTATCTTATTTTATTTTTGGCTTTATTAATTGTGTGGTCACATGAGAATTTAATGTGATATTTAATGAATTTAATGTGGTGATTAATTAATTTAATGTGTTGTATAATTATATATAATTAATCTAAATATTTATATATTTATATTTGTTATATAAAAAAAGTGTTATATATATATATATTATCTTATATTTATATTTATATATATTATAATTATGTTGTATTATATAATATAATATTATATAATAGTTTATTAGGTTATTATATATATATATAAAATATAATATAGTAGTCAATTAGGTTTAGGAGTTAAGGAGAAAGAAAACAAGAAAGAGAGTGTTGTGGGTGTGGCGTGAGAGAGAGAGAGAGAGAGATTAATCAAAGAACCAGGAGATCAATTCCGAGAGAAGGAGAACGGCGGAAAAAGGAGGAGAAAGTGGAGAAAAAAGGAAGAGAAAATATTAGGGTTTTGTTTTGGTGGTTTCATTAGTTTTTCAAATAATTTTTTGATCTTTAAAAAAATATAGTGAGTACAAAACTCACTTCTCTTGATTTATGTTTAATTCGTTGTTTTTATTTATTTATTTATATTTATTTGATGTTGAATTGATTTATATTTGCATGTAGATAATTGATTGATTTTAATTATTTTGATTGGTTGTATATGTAAGGTTTAGGGTTTTTATATGAATTTATTTTACGGTTATATTATATGAAATTAAAATTAATTAGGAACCCATAGATAAATTCCT